AGGTATGCCACTGTGATTAATGATGAAACAGCACTTCCTGAATTTATATGTACGAACCTTTGATTGTAGTAATAATAAACAAAGGTATGCCACTGTGATTAATGATGAAACAGCACTTCCTGAATTTATATGTACGAACCTTTGATTGTAGTAATAATAAACAAAGGTATGCCACTGTGATTAATGGTGAAACAGCACTTCCTGAATTTATATGTACGAACCTTTGATTGTAGTAATAATAAACAAACTACTTAGATGCATGGGATTTCCGATCTTGCACGCTTATTATACGTCATAAAAAAAAACGTCATACTGTCACTGGAAGGGAAGGGGGGGGGGGCTGGGGGTTAGACCGTTCGGCTCACGTCACCTGACATGCTCACCCTTTCGGTCGTAGTGTGTGTATTTTAATGTGACAGTCAATCCCACTATTCGTTGGTAAAGAGCAACCCAAGAGTTGGCGGTGGGTGGTGTTGGATAGTTTTGTTTCTTCTAGTATAGCACTTCAAAATTAGGGGCGGTTAGCGCAGACGGTCCTCGAATCGCTTTGTGCGAAAGTCAACAGACGTACGAACTACTCGCAGAAACGAAAATATAAACTCGAAATGTGGTCAAATGGAATGCTCGTTAAGCAATCTCATGGGTATCAACATTAATCCAATTACATCACATTGTATAGCGAACCGAAACTGGAAGATACCGAGACGAAAAAGTTAGCTTTGTCTCATGTTTATGGGAACTGTAACTATAAGCTACTCAAGTTAACCACCATTACTGTACAAGAGCAGGCAAAGAAAAACGTCAGTGATATTGTTAAAAACGGCGGGAAAAAATGGAAGATGGGAGAAAAGGGTGGGGTGGGGAGAGAAATAAACATAAACAATAGTTATTTGAATTTATTTCAGGCGAGATGAGTACCTTTTATTATTACAGTCAAGCATTTCGGGCTACGGAATTATTTACTGCATCCATGAAGGTGAATTAAACTAATGAAAACTTGATATGTTTGTTTTTTATTCATCATATATATATTTCAGTTTCATTTTCCTTATCACTTTACTGTTACATCATCATAGCCATTTCAGATATTGAAAAAAACAAATTTTCTGCTGTGTTATGATGTAACACGACATAATTTATCTCAGGACTTTAGACTAAAGATTAGTGTGGCGAGGCAACATTAAATGATGTCTACTGGTCGACAGAGAGATCGTTCAGAAAAGACGTGATTAACCTGGGTTGCGTGAGTTTTTGATATAGAAGTATTTTGGTGTTTTACCAGTAAAATCAATAAAGAGTTTTATGAATGATATTAATTGTCACTTATAATTATGTACAGAACTTCTCTACGTTTATAATAATCGACTATAGATAATTTACAAAATTTCATCAGCTAATAAATGATTTATGCCACAAGCTCTTGAGACAAGTATGACTACCAAAAAATAAATAAATGTGAAGCTCAATCTATCATTCGAATTAACAATTGCCACCTAGTTGAATAAATTTGTGTCATCAATGATATATGTTACTGAAATTCTTTCATAAATGTAGGATTATTGTATGAGGAAAAAACATTTCAAAATATCATACATATTGTTATAAGCTATATATTTTCAATATTGTAATTTGGACGTTAGCTAGAGGGTGGATGATGTCAAGATCGAAAAGTTTAATAATGTAGGCCTAGAAAATTCTAAAAATTTTGACGTCAAATTTTCTGGTAAATTCGAGTTTTGTTTTTAGTTACTTGATCGATAAGCTGTGAAGTTGTACAAGTAAATTTATTATCACGTTAGTATAGTAAAGTTAGCATGGTTGCCATTAGAACTTTATTTGTAAACGTGAATTACAAGTTACCACAGAGTTTAAGTAGAAACATTAAAGGAGGAAATAAACTAGTTTGTTATCATTACGTAGGCTGGAATTTAAATTATTTTCATCACATAATTTAAACACAAACCGCTAGCGAAAAAAATAACATTACAAAAATGTTGCCAGAGACAGATATATTTTCGTGAAAATAGAATATAGATACTTGAAATATAACTTCAACTGTTGAAGATCATGACCACGAGGTCAAAGAGATTAGGAAATTGTTAAGAGAAGATCAAGAGAAAAGAGCTAGAATATCTAAAGGAAAACAAGAATAAAAATGAAAAGAAAGTGACAGGAATTTAAGACAGGAGTAAAAAGAAAGAAACATCGCATTGGAAGAAGAATTAAGATCAAAAACCATTTTATCTTACCCAGATGCTCTTCGTGAAATGATGGATTTGTTTGCACACGGCCAATTTATAAATGTCATAACAGACGAGGATATGGCATTCAGGATGAAGCAAAGTAAGTGTACATCTTTAAGGAAATTCTACAGTAGGCTATAGAACTAGAATTTATTGAGGTTACAGATAAACAACTAAATGCATCATTTTTTTTAATATATTAATATTTAAAGGCATCATTTTGAGGTTATTGAATCGTCAGATTGAGCAGTGCTGAAACATTAACTTGCGTTGACGATAGTCTAAAAGAACTAAAAGGTTAGACAACTAGTTGTACATAATGGAGGAAGTAAACGCCAAGATAATAGATGTTTCACATGTAATTTAAAATGACATATTGCCAGGAATTGCCGATAAAACTTGTAGAAATATGAATTCCTCCCAAAGGATACTACAAAAAGGGAATTGTTATAGACGTGGGAAACCTGGCCATTAAACCCGAGACTTTGAGGAATCAACAGTTGTTATGACACCAAGAAGACAATACAACAAGGATGATCTTCGAGCTCTTCCAAATTGAAAGAAGAACAAAGAGCTGAGCAGACGCCAGAAACTATGGATTATCTGTATGTATGATGTAAAGACAACTGAAAATGCCCTAACTGCACAGAAGTTCATCATTTAAAGAAAACATTCCATGACTTCACAGGTTTATTGATGGGAAGCCTTACAGTATGTTGATCAACACTGATTCTAAAGCCCCAAATGTTTGACTCAGTTTGCTGATTAAGGGTCCTTTCATTCGTGGGAGCGTTATAATGTGACAGTCAATCCCACTATTAGTTAGTAAAAGAGTAGCCCAAGAGTTGGCGGTGGGAGGTGTTCAGTAGCTACCTTCTTTCTGGTTTATCACTGCTAAATTAGGGACGGCTAGCGCAGATAGCCCTCGTGTAGCTTTGTGTGAAATTCAAAAGAAACCAATCAATGCGAAGTCCTTTACTCATCGCTATCGAAGAATAGCCCCCCCCCCCCAGTGGCACAGTGGTATGTCTGCGGACTTATATTGCTAGAAACCGGATTTCGATACTCGTGGTGGGCAGAGCACAGATAGCCCTTTGTGTAGCTTTGTGCTTAATAACAAACAAACAATCGAAGAACAGATTAGGTCTCTACGTTATTCAAGAATTCTATCATTTCTTCACTGAAATTACACATTTTTAGTGAGGAGAAGATAAAATTCATAATTAATATTCAGATTTTGTTTCTCTTATATACTGTGTAAACATCTACCAAACGAGCAACAAGAAATTAATCAATATTGTTTAATAAATAAAATTATATAGTCTTTAAAACTGGTTCTTTCTTTCGATGAAATTAGCCCTTACTTCGCTGTAAATTTGCTTGCAAAGCTAGTTAATCATAAAAAAAAAACTCAGTTTATCATGTTATGAATATGCTTAGTAAGCATTAACTCCTTAAAATTGAGTTTTTGAGAAAGCTTGGAATTTTTCTAGGTGTCATAATATGTTTGACTTTAGCTAATAACTTATTGCATCGTCTTTGTGACGTCACGAAAAAGTCACGTGTAACCCATTCAGCGGGAAAGGTCAAGGCTCGAATGTTTGTGAGTTAAACACGAGATGGTGTTAAAGGCAAAAGATAATTAAAACCTAATAGAGCATCAAAAAATTTAATAAAGAAGCTTCGAAACAAAACCGTCACCAGTAATCTAAATCAACAGTTCTACCACAGATTTCTGTCAACACTCATTGGTGTGTTTGAAGCAACAGTTCTACCACAGAGTTCTGTGAACACTCATTGGCGTGTCTAAAGCAACAGTTCTACCACATAGTTCTGTAAACACTCATTGATGGGACTAAAGCAACAGTTCTACCACAGAGTTCTGTGAACACTCATTGGCGTGTCTGAAGCAACAGTTCTACCACAGTGTTCTGTGAACACTCATTGGTGGGACTAAAGCAACAGTTCTACCACAGAGTTCTGTGAACACTCATTGGTGGGACTAAAGCAACAGTTCTACCACAGAGTTCTGTGAACACTCATTGGCGTGTCTGAAGCAACAGTTCTACCACAGTGTTCTGTGAACACTCATTGGTGGGACTAAAGCAACAGTTCTACCACAGAGTTCTGTGAACACTCATTGGTGTGTCTGAAGCAACAGTTCTACCACAGATTTCTGTCAACACTCATTGGTGTGATGGAGATATTTATTACGTTTCTTTTCCTTCCTCCCACCTCCCACTAGATTCACTATCTGGTCTGTATATAATGTCCAAATAATATATATTTAAACTTGTAGAACTGGTTGGTTTAAAACGCTCAAGAAAAACAACAATAATGATTCCGTGATTCAGGATACAATGATGTTTGTTGCAGTTATCTACAGAGTATATAAACATACTAAAAAAACATAGTCACCCATCCTCCACCTTTTAGGTGCTGTGTTGATGGGTAGTAAGTTGTACTACTAAGGGTTAATTACAATGCTCATAACGGTCCGCAGATAGTGAATGCATAATTGGACTTAGGTCGTTATTGGCTGGAGCACCTGGGTCCTAACTTTTAATTATATATTTTATTAATTGGCTTGCTGCTGTTGGTACACCAGTAGTTCCTACGTCTGGAGGCCCGGTATGGCCAGGTGGCTAGGGCGCTCGTCTCGCAATCTGAGGGTCGCGGGTTCGAATCCCCGTCACACCAAACATGCTCGCCCTTTCAGCCGTGGGGGCGTTATAATGTGACGGTCAATCCCACTATTGGTTGGTAAAAGAGTAGCCTAAGAGTTGGCGGTGGGTGGTGCCTTCCCGCTAGTCTTACACTGCTAAATTAGGGACGGCTAGCACAGATAGCCCTCGTGTAGCTATGTGCGAAATTCAAAAACGAACAATCGTATGTCTGGAACAGTTTTGCATTGTTCGACTTGTTTCTTGTTAAAGTGGCGATTCGTTACATCTAGATTCTCCTCATTGTTTAGTGGCGTGATACTTATTACTCCCCCACCCCTGTTACAGATGCTGTACTTCTATTAAACACGTAATACCTTATATATATATAAAAAACAAACAAACTTGAAATACAAGCTGGTAAAATAAGGAAATTTGATTTTGAAGATATTTCACCTTAAAAATTATTTGTTATATTTTCCTCGCGACGTTTCGAGAAAACGATTTTCTCAAGCCATAAACAAGCATATTAGTTAAAGCCAAACTACTGCAGGACCTACTCTATAGAACACAATACACGAGGAAAAAATATTACACGTGAAAGAAACACGAGATTTAAACATTGTTGTTATGACAATATAACAAAGATACGAAAAAAAAGGGGTAAACTATCGAATAAACACAATATATTACTATATATTTAAATCAGAACGATTTATATTACGTTTGGATCTTGTTCATTTTGATTTGTAAGTTGAGGATAATATCTTTTTTTTTATAGCATTTGTTTTGTTTTTTTTTGTTTGTAATTAAGCACAAAGCTACACAATGGGCTATCTGCGCTCTGCCCACCACGGGTATCGAAACCCGGATTCTAGCGTTGTAAGTCCGCAGACATACCGCTGTGCCACTGGGGGGCTTTTTATAGCAAGTAAAAAAACAAACATTTCTTCTAAACAGAGCTCATACCCCCCGGTGGTTTAGCGGCAAGAGAAAGGGCTTATTTCGCTAAATACCTGGCTTCGATACCCGTAGTGGCCAGAGCACAAACAGTCCATTGTGTAGCTTTGTGCTCAACAAAAAACAAACAAATCTAAACAGAAAACACCACATTTATTTACGAAAAAATAAAGCTTCACATCTGCCTGGATGAATGAGTGAACGTGATTTTATCTAAATGACGACAACATTTTGTTAAATAGTTTAAACGTTTCATTCTCAGACAAGACATACGAGAATAGATTAACAGATAGGCGATCAGTACAACATGGAATTGATGATATTTACTGAAAACCGTAGGAAATGTTACGGTTCTGTATCTATTTCTTTCACAGTTGATTCATTGTTTGTAACACTTAATTTTATTCCTACTTAAACTCCTCTTGATAGTATCACTGAATTTTGTACACGTGTTAACACCAAAGATTGCCAAAGGTGGAACATCCAAACGCGCCTCGTGTGTCTCACGATGTATACTATGAGTACGAGCTCTTGCTAAAGTGGGTCAAGTTAGAAGTACGTTGTTTGTCATTACGTATTCGAACATCGAACTCTTAACTGATAACACATCTCTAGTGTTAGCATAGAATGTACGTTATGTTGTTCATCGTTTCAGACCTACATGTCGAAATTGAACTGATCTTATGTTTTTTATTGTTTTCTTAGTACTGGTGATATTCGCTCTAACCTTGACCTTTCTATAGCTATATAATTTGAATATTTGTACTATATGAATGCTGCGTCATTCTATTGTTGTTGTTTATA